ATCGACGGTCAAGATCAACTCTCACAAAAAATATCCAAGGGTAAAATTGGAATTTCACAAAAGTGCGGGGGCAAAATCGTCCAAAAATTTATATCTCTAAAGTTGATATGAAATGACCAAAATGCCCTTCTCATTTTACACTTGGTCTTCACAAAATCCCAAGGGCAAAACGGTAATTTTCCACTTCCTGTCAAAATTTCAGTTTTCTGACGAATCTAGACAAATCCGAGGCTGACCACGGTAATAACGATGTCGTCCAATTACTCTGTCATGACTTTCAAAATTTTCAACACCCAAACTCAGTCTCTATTTAATGGCCAAACTCAAATAAACGCGACTTGAGCTTATCTCAAACTAACGGGTGACTTTCGGGAAAATTCGTACATTTGACCCGTGGTCGATACTAAATCGAGCCACGTTTAAGTTCACTTGAGCCATGGCGATCTTGATTATTACATAATTGCGAGGATCAATCACTAGTTCTAGAGAACGCGATCGTTTGGAATAGGTTTGAGATCGTTTGCAAATTTCGTATTCTAGCGAGGCGGAATCACCTGCTATCCAATTATACGACATTCGTAAATCGATCCATGACCATCCTTAGATCGGTCTATATTAGCCCAAAATATCACCTCGACAATCCTTATGGTCGAAAGTCAGTCCATGGTCAGGTTCTACGGTCGCGCGAATCTAGATCCCTAATTAGCCTTTCCCTACTGGTTAGTGTCCCAAGAGTGATCAAGTCTGGGCGAGATTTACTACAAGTGCGTTATTGAAATTACGCATTTCATAAATACCAAGTGGGTCAAAATTTAGAATGTCACAACTCTTCCCCCCTTATAAAACTATCGTCCTCGAAATTTACAATCAAAACCAAACTATTCAACCAACTGGGGTTAATGACATCTCATCAGCTCTTCGCTTTCCCAAGTAGCGCCTTCGGTCCTGTGATGTTCCCAAATCACCTTGACCAGCGGGATTGTCTTGCTCCTTAAGACTTGTTCCTTCCTATCCTCGATCCGCACTGGCCTTTCCACGTACGACACTCTGTCATCCACTTCTATCTCCTCATAATTCAGTACATGAGCTAGATCCGGTTCATACTTCCTCAACATCGACACTTGGAATACATTGTGCACTTGAGATAAGTTTGGCGGTAAGGCGAGTCGATACGCTAAATCTCCAATCCTTTCCAACACCTCAAAAGGTCCCACAAACCGTGGACTCAATTTCCCTTTCTTACCAAATCGGGACAATCCTTTCATTGGCGATACCTTGAGGAATACGTGATCCCCTACTTGAAATTCCAAAGGTTTTCGCCTTATGTCTGCATAACTCTTTTGATGGCTTTGCGCTGTTTTCAACCTTTCGCGAATGATCTTAACCGCCTTAACTGGCTGTTGAACTAATTCTGGCCCGGTTATACTCCTTTCTCCAACTTCGTCCCAACATACGGGCGTCCTACATGCTCTGCCATACAGCGCTTCAAATGGCGCCATTCCAATACTCTCCCGAAAACTATTATTGTATGCGAATTCCACTAAGGGTAATTGTTCTTCCCACTTGCCTTGAAAATCCAATACACATGCCCGAAGCATATCTTCTAGAGTTTGAATTGTCCTCTCAGATTGGCCATCCGTTTGTGGATGGTAAGCTGTACTAAACTGCAGTTTTGATCCTAATGCCGTCTGCACACTTTTCCAAAAGTTGGCGGTAAACCTGGGATCACGATCCGAAGTAATCATCACCGGCACTCCATGTAGACGAACTATTTGTCTTACATACAATTCGGCATACCTTTCCAAGTCAAAATCCTTTCGCACCGCTAGAAAATGTGCCGACTTGGTTAATCTGTCCACTATCACCCAAATGGAATCATGGCCCTTTTGGCTCCTTGGTAATCCCATTACAAAATCCATAGTGATGTGCTCCCACTTTCACTCAGGGATTTCCAACGGTCGCAACAATCCTCCCGGCTTATAATGTTGCGCTTTCACTTGCTGGCATGTTAAACACTTAGATACATGTTTAGCTATATCCACCTTCATGCCATTCCACCAATAGTGTTGTCTAAGGTTTTGATACATTTTCGTGCTACCCGGATGGATGCTATATTTGCTACGGTGTGCTTCCGATAAGATTTCCTCCTTAAGTTCTGCGTCATCGGGCACACACAACCTTCCTCGGAACTTCAAGATCTTGTCTTCGGATACTTGAAAGTCCGCTTTCCTCTTCGTAACATCCATTTCCAGAATTTTCTGAATTTCTTGGTCCGTAGATTGTAAGGCCTTAATCTTAGTCTGGATTTCTGGTTCGATCCTTAGTGTGGCTAGCAAACTCGAGACTTGACTTACTTCAAGTCTAAATTCCGAGTCTCGCACCTTTTCCAACAAGGTCCATTCCTTAACTAACAAGTATGCGATGTTCGACTTCCGACTTAACGCGTCAGCTACCCGGTTGGCCTTTCTGGGGTGACATAAAATATCACAATCGTAGTCCTTAAGTAACTCCATCCAACAACGCTGTCTCAAGTTAAGCTCCTTTTGAGAAAACAGATAATTCAAACTTTGATGGTCCGTATATATCTGAAACTTCTCTCCGCATAAGTAATGTCGCCAAATCTTAAGGGCGAATACTATTGTGGCTAATTCCAAATCATGCGTCGGGTAGTTCAACTCATGCGGTCTCAACTGTCTTGATGCGTAGGCCACTACTCATCCATTTTGCATGAGTACACACCCCAGTCCTTTTAACGATGCATCGCTATAAATTTCATATCCTCCTAGTCCTGATGGAATAGTCAATACCGGCGCCGTTGTCATTCTATGCTTTAGTTCTTGAAAACTCATTTCACATTTGTCGGTCCATTCAAACCTTGTTTCCTTTTTCAACAAATGTGTCAACGGTGTTGCTATTGCCGAAAACCCTTCCACGAAACGTTGGTAATATCCTGCCAAATCCAAAAAGCTTCGGACCTCTGTTACCGTCGTTGGTCTCGGCCACTTCATTACAGGTTCAATTTTTGCTGGATCTACTGAGATTCCTTCCCTAGAGATCATGTGTCTAAGAAATGCTACTTGATTGAGCCAGAACTCGCACTTACTAAACTTGGTGTACAATGCTGTTCTCTTAAGGTCCGTAGAACTTTACTTAAATGTGTCTCATGCTTTTCCGGGCTCTTCGAGTACACCAATATGTCGTCTATGAAAACTATCACAAATTGATCCAAGAATTCCTTAAACACTTGATTAATTAAATCCATAAAGGCAGCAGGGGCATTAGTAAACCCAAACGGCATTACTGTAAACTCATAATGCCCATATCTCGTCCTGAATGCCGTTTTTCGTATGTCCTCCTTCCTAATTCTCAACTGATGATATCCCGTCCTCAAATCAATCTTAGAAAATACCGAAGCCCCTTGTAACTGATCAAACAAATCATCTATCCTTGGCAGGGGATATTTATTCTTGATGGTCACTTGATTCACCTGCCTATAATCGATACACAACCTCAATGACCCATCTTTCTTCCTTACAAACAACACTGGCGTTCCCCATGGGGACGCACTTGGACGAATAAAACCTTTGTCCAACAATTCTTGCATCTGAACTTTCAATTCTTTTAACTCAGACAGTGACATCCTATAGGGTGCTTTCGAAAATGGCTCTGTCCCAGGGGCCAACTCGATTACAAACTCTACTTATCTTTCTGGTGGCAATCCCGGTAGTTCCTGAGAAAAGACATCGGGAAAGTTGTACACCACGGCTATATCCTCTAGCCTTGGTTCCTCAATTGTCGAATCAACTACTGCCACTAAAAACCCTTCGCACCCTTCATCCAACAACTTAGTCACTTCCAGTGACGAAGTCCAGGGAATCGAGGTTCCTCCTCAATTTCTCACAAATTTGAATCTAGGATGTCCAACTGGATTAAATTGGATCACCCTGCTACTACAATTCATTACGGCCCTCTGCCTAGTCAACCAATCCATACCAATAATCACATCGAAATCAAACATAGGTAGAACAGCCAAATCTATTCTTTCTTCTACATCACCAGTCACAATTTTTCAATCCGAATATCCTAGCGAAACTAGCACTTTATCATTCAATGGAGTAGCAATTTATAGCACAACATCAAGCGGTCTTGGTTCTATCCCAGTCAATTTAACGAATTGCTTAGACACAAACGAATGTGAAGCCCTCGGATCAAATAAAGCATATGCAGCATGATCACAGAGAGAGACCGTACCTGTGACCACGCCTGGCGCATCCTCCGCTTCCTTTCTCGCCATGGCATATACTCGTCCTTGGGCTGCCGGCCTGTTCTGATTAGTCGAAGGGACAGCTCCAATTTGATTTCCTTGCGATTCTAGGCGAATTTAATCGTACTGAATGAGTGCATGCGAGGTTGGGGCAATTTCTTATGTGATGGCCCCTTTTGCCACATCCAAAACAAGCTCCGCCTCTATTCGGGCAAAGTCCATTACCATGCCTTTGTCCACACAGATGACACGGGCCATTCTGAAAGCGATTCGGCTTACCGATGTTCCTTTTAACGGAAGGAATAAAACGCTGATTCCCGGACATCGGTCTCTTCCCAAGATTACGATTATCCCTAGCCGGAGCATATCTCGATCCAGAAGCAGCGGCTCTATCCGCTAAGTCACGCTCAATCGCCTGAGCCCGCTCATATATCTCATTATAATCCCTTAAATTCAAAGATACCATCTGACTACGAAGGTCCGGTTTCAACCCATCTCGGAACCTTCGGGCCTTATCCCATGGATCTTCCACCATTCTCAAGGCAAACTTGGATAATCTAGAAAATTCTACCTCGTACTGATCTACAGACATTTGTCCCTGACGCAATCTCATGAATTCAGCCAATTTTCGTTCTCGGGCACTCTCAGAAAAGTACTTACCATTGAAGACTTCCACAAACATCGCCCAAGTCTGGGCGGCACCAGCAGGGAACACCCTTCCTCCGGTGGCTTTCCACTAATTACTTGCGTTTCCTTGGAACTGGTACACTGCCAGGGTTACCTTCTCTTCTTCGGTGCACCCTAGTACCTCAAAGGCCTTTTCTAATTCCTCTACCCAAAGCGATGCAGCTTCAGGGTCGCCTTTACCATCAAACTTAGGGGGCTTTAATTTTAAGAATTGTTCTACCAACTGATGCATCTGACGATTCGCATTCACCTGCCCTTGCCCTTGCCCTTGATTCCCATTGTTGCCCTTGATGGCAACGGCTGCAGCAGCCTCAGCAGCTTGGGCAATAGTGGCCGCTCGTTCCTGAGCCTACCGTCCCATCAGATTTCTAGTCTTTTATAGGGTCCTCATGACCGCATCCATTCTCGGGACTCCCACAGGTTGGGCTTGCGAACTTGATTGGCCTCTTGTCCCTCTACCTCTCGAACTTATATTCACGTGTCACGCCCCGAATCCCATTGAGCACGCAACACACTTCTCTGGTCGAATAATGTGATGTCCCAGGGTATCGCCGACCCAATTAGACTTATCAGAGATTTATATCAATCAGCGAAAGCCACAAATACCCAGACAATATTTTACTAGGGTTAAAAGGGAGAATAAACATATCCATTACCTATTCAAACTTATACAATATCCACAATTTACGTAACCACAACATATACATGCACACCGAACTTCTAAACTATTTACCACCGATATCAAAAAGGATCAACAGCCTGGGTATACCCTATCTCCAAATATGGAACATATCAAAAGGTCTACCTAACCCCTATACTAGCCCCTACGCCCTCTGGACGGCGTCCACTCAGAGTCTGACTCCTTAGGACCCGAATCTGAATCCCCCTGAACTGCCTGCTCATCTGAGGACTCCGGCTCGGCCTCGATCTCAATCGGGTTGTCTATATCACCCGACTCCACTGGAACCTCGACTCGCTCCTCCTCCTCTGGCTCCACATCCGACTCGTCCTCTGGCATAAACTCGAGATCGTACTCTGGCTCATACTCGGGTACGTCCTCTGGTTCCTCTTCAAGCTCATCTTCAGGTTCTACTTCTGGGGCCACTTCAGGTTCTGCTTTAGGGTCTTCATCTTCCTCTGGTATCACCTCAAGATCTACATCCATCGGATCATACCTCGCCTGGGATTCTTCTGGATCCGGATCATGCTTGGCCCCTGAGGGCTCAGGTGCTGCAGGCGCAGGCTGGAGTCCTGACTGCGCTAGACTAGTCTCCAAACTAGTCAACTCGCCATCCGGAGGAGGTATGGCTGATGGATCCCATTCTCCAACTCCATCAAAGGGGACATCGAAGCCACGGACGGGGCCAAATTCGTCTACCCCGTCTCTGAATATCCAGGCAGTGTACGTGTGGGCCTGCCAGAGGGGTAGTCCTATATCTACCCAAACTACTGAGGTATGCTTGATTCAGGTCATATTGTTGTCTATAGGATACTCTACAATATTATGGTCGGTGTGCATCGGTACTCCAAAACGCTCAGGCGGTGGCGGTGGAAGATTCATTGCTCAGGCCGGGGTTCTGAAATTGTTGGTTGAAACAACCATGAGATCACATCTCAATAAGCACACACCCTAAACCCCACCTAGGCTATCACGTACCTCCAGACAATTACAAACACAATCACACTCAACCATTACATAACAGGTACACAATTTACACTTACCTGGGCCTTTCTTGCGTGCAACCTGCACGTTAGCCACAATAGCATAATTTCCAACCACATGCACATTCTAATTACACTTCACGCACTCGTTCCTGCCTCATCACATTCTTTTCACTCAACTCGCCAGTGACCCGCGTAATGGTACAGCCTCAGATTCACTGAGACCATCTCATATTTTCCACTCAACTCGCCAGTGACCCGCGTAATGGTACCGCCTCAGGTTCACTGCGACTAACTCATATTAACAACACTTCGTGGCCCGCGTAATGGTACCGCCTCATGCCGTGTATCTTGCTCGCGTAATGGTACCGCCTCAGGCTCAACACCCACCACCTACGACACAAACCGCGTAATGGTACTGCCTCAGGTTGGCCGTCCTCGGGTAATACCGGGCATCGTCCCGCATAGTAGTACTGCCTCAGGACGGATCAATTCCCCGCGTAATGGTACCGCCTCAGGGATTTTTGTCACCACACATACAGCACCACCACATAATTTTTCGCTCGTTCACTTGCTCGACACCAACATGCCAATACATTAGCCAATCACATTTGGCCCGTGCACGCACCAAACCACACACATTTCTCATGCTTAATAAACACCCAAACACGGCCAATTGACAATCAATTCAATTCAGCCCATGCGTGCACATAACGACCCACATTTCAATCAATCAAGTCACGATTCCACGAACATACAAGGCCACTATCGGGCCCACAAACACAGCCACAATCATGGCATAAAATTCAACATTTTCAAGTCCATTTCCAGCCCTAATTGCCTCCACAATTCAGCCACAACATGGCTTCGCCAACCCGACACCATTTAGTCCTCAAATCAGGTCGTATGCTCATCAATACGAGCCACAATTTCCAGCATCTAATTCCATATCAAATCAGTCCCAAAACATCACAAATTCACCCACAATTCAGCCAATATCAGTCCCTAATTAATCCAAACCGAACAGCCCTAAACAGTCCCTATTAAACCCCAAAACAGCCCCTAACAAACCCGATTCAACTCCTAATCGTGTCTATCGATACCCGACATCCTAAATAGGGTTTAGGGGGCGACTTACACGAACTCTAGGCTGGCTCGGTTAGAGTGGAAAAAGGGGGCGGCAGGCCAGCGGCGAGCGGCTCGGCAACGGCGACGACGGCTGCACGGCGGTTTGGGCGGACGGCGGCTGATTTGTCTCGGCTGGGCTGGGCTGAGTGATGGCTGGTGGTGGTTCGGTGAGGCAGAACAGGGGAGAGAGAGAGGGACGGTGGGGCAAGCGGCTGGGCTAGGCGAGCGGCCACGGCGGGCGGGGAGCTGCTCCGGTGCTGCTGCTCCGGCTGGACGGGAGGGCGGCGACAGCTGCCGGCCTTGGCGGGCGGCGACGGTCACGGTGAGGAGATGGGGTGGCTCAGTTGGGTGGGGAGAGAGAGAGAGAGGGAATGCCGAGAGGGAGAAAGAGAGAGTGAGGAGAGAGAGAGAGAAATTTAGCTTTAAATAATCCAAGGTCAATTATTGGTGTGCCAATTGACCATCATTCCCTCCTCTCTAAAATCAAATCAACAGTCAAGATTCGATCTCATCTTAAGATCGACGGTCCGGATCGAATCTTTTCCAAAATATCCAAGGGCAATTTGGGGATTTCACAAAAAGTCCAAGGGCAAAATTGTCCAAAATTTTCTATTTCTAAGATTAGGGCGAAATGACCAAAATGCCCTTCCCCAAATACACTTGGCCTTAACAAATCTCCAGGGGTAAAATGGTCATTTTCCATTTCTCGCCGAAATTCGATTTTTCTGAAGGATTCGGGCAAATCCGAGGCTACCCGAGCAAATGATAACATCGTCCAAATGATCTGTCGTGACTTTTCAAATTTTCAATGCCCAACTTGGTCTCTAATTAATGACTAAGTTCTAAATAACGTAACTTGCGCATATCTCATACTAATGGGTGGATTTTGGGGAAATTCGCATTGTTGACCCATGGCCGATACTAAATCAAGTCACGTTCAAGTTTACTCGGGTGGTGACGACATCGATTGTCACTTAATCGCGAGGATCGATCGCTAGATCCGACGGGCACGATTGTTTGGTATAGGTTTGGGGTCATTCGTCAATTCATTTCGTGGTCAAGTGGAACCACCCGCGATCCACTCTTATGACAATGGCAAACTGATCCCTAGCTATCCTTGGATCGGCCTACATTGGCTCAAAATGTCACCTCGACAATTTTCATGGTCGAAAGTCGGTTCACGACCGAGTTCTTTGGTCGCGCGAATTTAAATCCCTAACTAGCCTTTCTCTAACGGTTAGTATTCCCGAAGTGATCAATTCCAGGCGAGATCTAACTACAAGCACGTCCATAAACTATTCATTTCATAAATCCCAAGTGAGTCGGATTTCAGAATGCCACAACTCTTCCCCCCTTATAAAAATTTCGTCCTCGAAATTTATAAATCAAACTAGCTACTCAAACAAGTGGGGGTATTGACGTTGCATTTGCTCTTCACTTTCCCACGTCGCGCCTTCTGTCCCATGATGTTCCCAAACAACCTTGACCATCGGGATCGTCTTGCTCCTTAGAACCCGTTCTTTCCGATCTTCAATCCTTATTGGTCTCTCGACAGATAACACCCTGTCGTCGACTTCTATCTCTTCATAATTCAACACTTGAGTTGGATCCGGTTCATATTTTCTCAACATCGATACGTGGAACACATTATGCACTTGCGACAAATTTGGCGAAAGTGCAAGGCGATAAGCTAATTCTCCAATCCTTTCTAAAACCTCAAAAGGTCCCACGTACCTCGGACTCAACTTTCCTTTTTTACCGAATCTGGACAGTCATCTCATGGGCGACACCTTAAGAAATAAGTGATCCCCTACTTGAAACTCCAAAGGTCGTCGCCTTCTGTCTGCATAACTCTTTTGACGGCTTTGAGCTGTTTTCAGCCTTTCACGAATTACCTTAACAGCCACAACCGACTACTGAACTAATTTTGGCCTGGTTATACTCCTTTCTCCTACTTCGTCCCAACACACGGGCGTCCTACAAGCCCTGCCATATAGCGCTTCAAAGGGCGCCATTCCGATGCTCTGCTGAAAACTATTATTATATGCAAATTCTGCTAAGGGCAATTGCTCTTCCCACTTACCTTGAAAATTCAATACACATGCCCTAAGCATATCCTCTAAAGTCTGAATCGTCCTCTTAGACTGGCCATCCGTTTGGGGATGGTAAGCTGTACTAAACTGCAGCTTTGATCCTAATGCCGTCTGCAGACTTTTCCAAAAATTGGCAGTAAACTTAGGATCACGATATGAGGTAATCGTCACTGGTACCCTATGCAATCGAACCATTTGTTGCACATACAACTCAGCATATCGATCTAATGCAAAGTCTTTTCGTACAGCCAAAAAGTGTGCCGACTTTGTCAATCTATCGACAATCACCCAAATAGTATCATGGCCTCTTTGGCTCCTTGGTAATCCCGTCACAAAATCCATAGTAATATGTTCCCATTTCCACTCTGGGATTTCCAAAGGTCGCAACAATCCTCCGGGCTTACAATGTTGCGCTTTCACTTGCTGGCACGTCAGACACTTGGCCACATGCCTAGCTATGTCCACCTTCATGCCATTCCACCAATAATACTGCCTCAAATTCTGATACATTTTGGTACTAACTGGGTGAATACTATAACTACTACGATGCGCTTCTGACAAAATTTCTTCCTTAAGTTCCGCAGCGTCAGGTACGCATAATCGTCCACGGAACTTCAATATCCCGTCTTCGGATATCTGGAAGTCCGATTTTCTCTTGGTATCATCCATCTCTAGAATCCTTTGGATTTCTTGATCCGTAGACTGTAAAGTCCTAATCTTAGCCTGGATCTCTGGTTCAATCCTTAGCGTGGCTAGCAAGCTCGAGACTTTACTTACTTCGAATCTAAACTCCGAGTCTCGTACTTTTTCCAATAGTGCCCATTCCTTGACCATCAAGTGTGCGATGCTTGACTTCCGACTAAATGCATCGGCTACCCAGTTGGCCTTCCCGGGATGATACAATATATCGCAATCGTAATCCTTCAACAACTCCATCCACCGACGCTGCCTCATATTTAACTCTTTTTAGAAAACAGATATTTAAGGCTCTGGTGATCTGTATATATCTGAAATTTCTCTCCGCATAGATAATGTCGCCAAATCTTAAGGGCGAATACTATAGCGGCTAATTCTAAATCATGCGTCGGGTAGTTCAACTCATGCGGTCTTAACTGCCTTGATGCGTAGGCCACTACCTGTCCATTTTGCATGAGTACACACCCCAATCCTTTCAACGACGCATCACTATAAATTTCGTATCCTCCGGGTCCTGATAGAATAGTCAACACCGATGCCGTTGTTAATCTATGCTTTAATTCCTGGAAACTCCTTTCACATTTAT